TGCTGAAGATTGTGCCGAAAATGCTCGGCGGCGGTCACCCTATTTTGTATCATGGAACATATCTAATATACAGTTCTCTGCAATTTTGAGTATGTATTAAACTAAGCACGGGTCGAAAATGTGCAAAAGTGGGCGGAAGCTACAGATACATGCCCATTTATCGGCACACCCGTCGTCCATTGTGGCCGTGTCAGTGATCATGGGTACCAGCACCTGTGCTAGCAATGATGACATCCCGGCGATGTCGTCGGGACGTCCAACTTGGAAGAGTGCACGGCTTTTCTTTCTTCGGGGGCCGGTTTGGGATGGCATATTTCTGTGGACACCGCACATGGGAAGTTGGCAAATGTCAGTACAAAGGCACGACGCTCAGCAAGCTCCCAGCCTGCATTAGGCACGCGCACAAGAACATTGCGTTCGTGTCACAGCGTTGTTTCCCGTCGCTTTCAATCCGTGACTGGGCTATTTCGATCTTTGAAAGCAGCAGCAGTCATCGGAATTGTGTCGTGACCTTGGCGAGGCTCTCTCAATCCCTCGTCGGTCCCGTTATTCCTTCGGATCTGCATGTCGGACGCCGACGTCAGGGTGCTGAACCCATTGCTTCGTAAGCTGGCTAGGTCCCTCGCGACGCTGCCAGCCACACTCAAATGAAGCCCGCGCAGAGACTAGGGTGCCCACCAGATACCACGTTGTCCAAGGCTTCGGTGACAACGAAATGGTCAAGCGGCAGTGCACGCATTGCTATCTTGTAGTTGCTGGCCCCGCTCCCTGCCTGCACCGCTGCGCCCACGGTCCATAAAGACAGGCCAGTGCTTGCCATTGCCACTCTTAAATCGGACCTGCACAGTTGAATATGTGAATGAAGCGCCATGCTCTCAGCACGGCTGTCTCGTGCATTCTCGCCTTGGCGAGGTGCGCAGCCCACCCCGCTGTTCCTGGTACACCGTACAGTGAACATGTCGGACGCGTGCTTCATGTCTGGCGGGTGCATGTGTTCCTGTGGATTAACGTGTCAATATGGGCGTCCTTGCTTGTGAGGTTGCGCCCTACGGCTTGTTGCACATCCCGTAACCGAGCAGCAAGCTTGCATCTATGCCGTCGAAGGTCACTCTTTCAATGGAGGTAAACGGCGAGGGACACAAATTCCACTCAGGCATTGCTAAAGTTGGTCATTTCCAGTCAATTATCAAGCGGCAAATGGCTTCATAAACTTCATTAGAGGCTACATGAGACAGATTACGGCGACCAGTTTCACAAGATTGCATCTTAGGGAATCAAAAGCAAGCACAGCCGCAGTGGATGAACTGCCTGATGATGGATGATTAACGCATACAATAATGCTGTGAACTGAAGGGATCGAGATTCTAGACAAGAAGGGAGCAACTACATCAATAACTACTGGGGTTCAGTATGTTTGGAATATACAAGAAACGTACTGAAGTCATTCAGAAGGATTCCAAGGAAGAACTAGTACAACCATGCACCAAGACGGCTGCCGAAATCGTCCCATTGAGCCGTCAGACGAACCACCCGCACTGGGTGGAAATTTGCACCAAATGCTGCCAGCCGTCTGCCTAGCTGGAACCGTAACAGTGTCGCATCAGGTCCAGGACTTGTTCGACATCAGTGCATGGTCCAAGAGGATATATATAGGCTGAGGCTGGCGTTGCGCGCCAACCCATTGACAGCCAACCCTCAACCGCTGCGTCGTGAGCCCCTGTGCGCCATGGCAGCCGGCCGCTTCCGTCAGGTTGAGGCATGGAAGCTCTTCATCGCCCAATGGCTCGCAGTCGGTCATCTCCGCCTGTGCCGCTGGGCGTTGAATGGCGTAGACGCACCCATCAGATTCTGGGCATTTCTGATGGCTGCGAAGGTTCCGTTCAGCAAGGAAGACGCTACCTGGATCCTGCGTGAACGGTGGAGGGACAGGGAGCGGGCTGAGCTGCAGGAACTGGCCAGAGATGCACATCTGCAGAATGCCTCCACGCAGGTGGACGGAACCTATGTGCTGGGTGTGGGCGAAGCCTCTCTATGGAACGAGGCGTACGATCCCAACGCGATTCAGCGCGAATGGAAGCTGGAGGTGAAGGTCCAGGAGACAAAGCCGTACAATGGCATAGGGGTTTCCGCCTTCCAGCTGCGTTTCAGGGACATGCTAGAGCGGGAAGGGGCCTGCGTACTGGAATGGAATGGGTGCCGGTTTGACTTTGAGTGCCGGGAGATCGAAGTACATGCGGAGATTGTTGTACCGTTTCGCTGACCGACGGGGACGGAGGCTAGAGGGAGGTGGCTGTGACCGGCATGCTTTCGCGCGTACTTTGCCCTCTGACTTCAACTGGGAGATTCCCCGTGAGTACCGCGACTTTGCGACCAATAGACCACCAAATGCGGATGTACGGCGCAACGCCACTTACGATGTTGCATGTCGCGAGGTGGCGGCACGGATCAATGCGGGCAAGCCAGCCCAGACCCACGTGGAGGCGAGAGCTGAGAGGCGCATGTGGCGATGGAGCATCTGTAAGAGGAAGCCCGATTCAGATGCGACGTGTGATGGCTGTGATGATAACCCTCCGATACTGGCACTTCCCCCTGGTTTTGACAAGGGGCCATCAACGCGTGTACTGACCCCGGGATTCAGCCCCGATGACGCAAGTTGAGGACTTGCCGCATATCGTGATCATGGATACGTGAAGGGACCTGACTGGAAGCCGCGGACACTTACGAGGATTGCTGGCGGAGGATGCGGAGTGACATGAGGACCTTAGGGTACCATCCGCGGCACGAACGACTGGACAGGGAGGAGTGACGGCATGTCGGGCGCGATACTGATCGTGGGAAGGTCACTAGGGGGTAATGATTGCACGATTCCAAGAAGTGACACTGTATAGGGGTGAATCTGAAAGGGAAGGGACGGACATGGGGTACGGTGGACATCAGAAGTGTCCGGCATGGGAACATGGTTTGTGTAAGGCATTATGTGAAAAGACAAAACCTTGTATATGACATTGAAATCTGTAATAAAAGATATTGGGGATTCTGCATGGCAGATCTCCGCAGGCCCCTGAGCATGTGTGTGTGCGACTCGGCCGCCTGAATCCATACACAAGTCCGACTCGGAGCCCCTCGAAGGCACCCGAACCCGTATCAGACCCCCTCTCGGCGCCCGTGAGCCCGAGAGCCAGTTAATTTTCGGCGTATGAGATCCTCCGTCGGACTGAAAGCGCACTCTGGAGCTGTGAGGCTGCATGGACCGACCACGGTTGCGCAGTCGTTCGCGTGGAGCTTTGCATGTACCCTGTTTGAGGTGCGAAAGTGCGAAGGGTGTTGGACGTTGGGTGTGAAAGGATGTTGGGTGGAAATACGTTCGGTTTCATGAGCGTTGCCACGTCGGACGGCAGAGAGAGCGCATCACTGAGCGTTGGCGCGCAGATTGCGCTGGTGTGTGTGGCTGCCATGGCGAGGGTGATTTGCATGGTGGATGAATGCGTGACAATCGTTGGTGGACTCATGATGATGCTGGTCGATGGACTGGGGAGAATGCTAGGGATTGGGTGTGTGCGGACGAGCCATATCGTGGTGCAGATGCAGAACGTGTACCACATTATCTGAATCCTGTTCATGGTGAACGTTAGCGCTGCCATTTTCTGCGCAATGGGGCGCTTCTTGCAGCATCCCGTTGTGGGCATCCAATTCTTGATTTCCAGTACTTTACGTCGTTTAGCCCCATAATGGCGTCATCAGAGGGTGCCTGCTTGTGACCAAGGCGGTCTGCGGCGAAGCCCCTGTGGCACAGGCCGGACAGGGAGCATGCCTTGGCGCTGGCAGGGTGCCGCACTGCCTGTACAAATTGCCGGCACATGTCACACACAGGCGTCTCGATCGCGCAAATTGGTGAAAACGGGGCAAGGATCCATGCTTGAATCGCCTGTACAGGCTGTGGGACATGTGTGGCGAGCAACCTGTCCACTGCGCCCCTCCGCTAGCGTGCCCGGCCCACCTGCCAGAGCACAAGAAACGGCACTACTTGGTGTGTGATTTTCCAGCACCAGGCACGGAAACTTTCAACGAGGTAAAGAAGTGGAGGCATTTGTAGTCAGAGCGGCTTATTTGCGTTTGAATGGCAGTCGTGCCGGAAATGCCTTGTTAGCAGTGTGGTGTGAAAGTGACACGACATAAACGACACATGAACACAGAGTGAGGCTATGGGAGCAGTTCTTGTCCAATAAGCCACCACCATTGCTCAATGGGAAGAAGCTTTTGTCTTTTCCGCGTCAAATCGAAACTGTGTTGAATGCACCATGTTTAATGGTGGCAAGTCTTGGCTCCAGTGGAGGTTAACGTGCAGCGTCAAGCACAGGCGCCCATGTGCGTCCGGCATACATAATAGTGCCCAGCAAATATGGTGAATCGCCAATACGGTGGGCATTGCACATTTTACATGGATGGGCGATAATCTGCTTTTTGTCGGCACGAATGGACTCCGGTGGCAGCTACAGATCCTTGGCCTGACCGGCGTGTGCTCTTCTTGCTGCAACGGGAGAACGGGCCCAATTTACACAGCCATCACCATATCGTACAGGATGGCAATAATGGTAGAGGTTGCTGATCCTGCACATTGCGGTGGCCTTGAAATATGTTGGCATCATTCAGTGCTGTCCGTTTGTGGGACCCAATCTATTTTGCGATGGACGCGCATCCCTCAAACTCTACAAGCGTGGCTTTTCATCAGCGCATTATAAAGCAGATAATATGGATCGGGCATTGCTTGACAGCCGTTGAGTCCACCATGAGCATCAGCAGCAAAGCAACTGGAACACCAGCGCGCTTCATTTGGGCGCTTTCTTTCTGAAGCACTGTCAGCCAAATTGCCACCAACGCAGTGCAGTATCGATCCATGCACAGAGTAACCCCCTCGGTGCGTTGTTGCCCTTGCCGGCCGACAGCTCCGCCAACATGAGAAGGCACCGCGGACAGCCCCCGTAGCATTGCATCACACAGACGCCTTTTTTCCCCACACTTTGCCACAATCTCACAGTCAGCACACTCGACACAGACAAGTGGTGCTCGAACACAGATGGGCTGCCAAATGTGGACGCAACAGAGCGCCGGTGCTGCGCTATAGGCTGCGGTGCACCGGTGCTTCGACGGCCCTTGCTGTCGTCCACACCTTGGAAGGCATTTTGCTCTGGCAGCGTGCTACTTGTGGGGCATTGTGTAGGCACACCAGGTATCAACTCTGCCCAATATCGTGTTCCGTGGTATCCTAACACCATTTCTGGGGGAAACGACGCATTGAACTCACAGGAATTGGCCCGTGTATGAAACAGCACCGGTGAGCGCATCAAAAAGACTTCCGCTCCTGTCATCAGCATCTCTTCACAGGAAGAGCCATGCCATGCCCGGGCGGTTGGTGGACACGTTGGCCGCCCCGAACACCTCAACAGCGTTGGGTGGAATCGCCAAAAACGCCTGTAATCAATCGCATTACCAAATGCAAATTGCGTGTTCAATCAATTATACAATATTCACCCACAGTTCCACACATGGGTGAAGCGATGCATGGGCACATGCGGGGCACGGCTGCCACGGCTACAAACATTGGCTCCATCTGTCCCACCACCACCGCAAGCAAATAGCACAAGCGTGCAGTGCCAACACTGGCAACGGTGCTGTCCACAGCAGCCATCTCAGCGAGGTAAGCACAGAACGGGGATAGTGGCAACCATCAAGAGCTCGTTATGCAGTGCGGGGCCTGCCGTTCATGCACCGCTGTCCTCCACACCAAAATGGACCCAACTGACACACTGCCGAATTGAATCTTTTTGAGAACCAAGAGAATTCTCTCGTGCATTTATGCCATGGGGGGCGCCGCAGCGCCCCCAAAACCGTGTCTGGAAATGGTGCACACAGCTTCTGCGGCCACAGACTACAAATTGAGAGGGGGGCTCACGAACACTGTGAAAAACGCCCACCCACCGTATCAGGGATTTCAGCGCTACGATAACACGATCCAGCCATTTCCGAATGGCAAACCTACATCCATTGGGGCCATCCTGTCCCTCTATAGTCGTTTCGATGAGCGAAACTGGGACACAGGAAAGAATTGCAGCCGATTCCGTGTCGAGCTGCGGATGTTGGCCATCCACCCATGCGTGCACTGACTGGTACAAAGCCCAAACCAAGTGGCCATGGACTGCTCCAAACAAACGCATCAAAACACTTCCCGGGGGCAAGGGAAACCATAAAGTACACCCTACCAGATCCCCATCGCTCACCACGGGTACCACTCGCTGGCACACAATACCAACAAGTTGTACCGACAGCGCGCTGGCGCTGCCCAACGCGCATCCCCTTGAAAACAATTCCCAGCTCTGCACTGAGGTCCCAGGCTCAACGGGGCGCTGGGCCCCAACTTCGGTGCCAGAAAATTGGGCCCCAGGGACCAAGTCGAGAGCTTACGTTAGCCAGGAGACGCCGCTCGTCCCTGACTTCGTGACGAGCTCCCAGTCGCTCCAGGTGGCGCTGCCTGCGCGGGCCTCACGCGAGGCCCTGGGGGCCCGCCTGCCCTGCGACCGAAACTTGGTCACGAACCCTGTGTGGCGGCTCTCGTAGACAGTAACGTTTGGTAGCACAGAGTTCACGGCCACCCGGATACACTGCAGCACAAAACATTGGAAATTGACTCAGATGCAGTGCAGCACTGGCGATCATCGCAACCCACATCAACCTATGCCAACACAAGCAAACGAGCAAAAACGAACTCAAACAAGACTTCAAGTCATCGATCCAAACTTTATGCAAGCTGATGTTGTGCAAGTGCTGTTTGCACAGCACCCTGCTCAGAGAAGGAGAGATATGAAAATGGAACAAATCAATATGTCTGATTGGTATGGGAAAGCACGAGCAAGCACATCGAATGCACTCTCAAGCTAATCATTCCACACTCCAGTGCCCATCGCTGTTGCAAAAGCTAGAGGAGCAGCATGCCAACATTGATGTGCCCACAATGTGCCTAATGGCATGACCTCCGCACTCACCCAGCTACGCGAATGGGCAGTGAACTCAGCCCAATAGCGGGTGAGGGACAGTGGTCCCTTTGCAGTGAGGCTGTATAGGACCAGGCCAACAATTTTCCATTCCCCTTTCCAAGTGAAGACACAGATATCTTAAATTCACAACAGTAGTGATAAGGACAGCAGCTGCTATGATGTCCTAAGCAATAGAAGCAGCCACTCACTTCTCCGTGTGTAACAACAAGGAGATTGGCTCCGGCATAGCACTCGCCAAGGCGCTGCAAACACAAAAGCAGACTCAGCACAGGACACAGATCATATTGTGATGATGGACACCTCGATGACTGCAAAGGCTGCACGTCGGCACCATGATGACAGCAATATACTCAAATAACCTTTCACAACAATCAGCGATTAGCTGATGCATCTATCAAAGGCGGCACAGCAGCACAGGCAAACAACGCTGTTGTCCAGATTGAGGTGGAAGTGAACGATCTTTGACACTTCAAAAGAGCATGTGCTCAACACAGGACTTTAGGGCAACAAAGGATAACAAAAGACTTTGTCAGCTGCAATGAAATCCAGCAATTTTCAAGGGAATCCGCACTGGGAACCCCACATGGGCACAGCCCGACCTCTAGCTCCCTTGCATATCTCTTGTGTCCCTCCCCAATGGTCTCAAATTGGGTGGGCAGCCGAAGCGGCAGGATCACTGGGCTGCCAGAAATGCCCTCCAGTGCAGGCTCTGCACGCAGCAAACAAGCCACAGGTGGGCATAGACCAGGCAAGCTGACATCGCACACTCTGCCATAAAGCTGTAGTGCTCAGTACACACATAACTTGGATTCCATGCAGGGTGTTGCAGGCACCTCCCCACGCTTCAACAGCAGGAGGTGGACATGAAACAGAATTGTTGTCAGCCATAAGACATAAACAATTCTGAAAGGGGACTGCGCTGGGTATCGCATCAAGGCTGCAAGGGGGATTGTTTGTTAAGGATTGACAGATGTTAATAACACAGATCTCTGCACTACCGACTATGGCACAGACGACCAGCACTGAGACACTGTGCCAGCATGAGCACAAGCAGCCCCTCAGGCCTCTCGCTGAAAGCCAATCAGATACATGACATAGTTCTGTTACTTAAAATGGCTTGTAGGTACTGGAATAATGGTGTGTAACAAGCTGTCCATTCCCCAGTGCATCTGACAGATGGGCAAGCCGACCATCAGCCCTACCTGATTTCACAAATTTCTGGACGACATCGGACACTGCCTCTCCTTGCCACATCCAGTTCTCAAGGGGGCCCTTTGGGAGGCCCGAAAATCCACCATTCATAACCCTAGGACTGAATACCTGCATGCCCAAAACAGCACACTCGATCATCGAAAGCAGTGACATCACTCTGTTGGCAGTATGCCCCTCAGATGGGCTGACAAAAACCCGACAAGGGGGGCCACAGTGACTGGATAGCAAAGATGGCAAAATAGGGATAGAAAGGTGAACAGTGATCGAATGACAGTGCCAGCCGTGTGGGTCCAGGCTGGACATGACCTGAAAGACTGGTGGACACCCGCTCCCCGAAGGGACAACCAAGAAACAAAATGAACAAAATATTTGAAGGGACCCTTTTGGAACCTCTCGCCTAGCCTTGTCCCCATTCCCAAAACTCCACCCCTCATCCTACCCCCATCTCTCTCACCTCTCCTATTTGGCAGTTGATGAGCAGCTGGTCCAGTGACAGGCCCAGCTGTGGCAAAATCTGAGCACTGGTCTGCAGGCACCTCTGGAAGGGCGACGAGACCACATAGTCGAATTGCAGGCCCCGGAGCGAGGCCGCCACTTCCCGAGCCTGAACCAATGGCACATCAGCATCAGTCTGCTAGGGTGCAAGTAGGTCATCCATACGTGTGTACATACGTGTGTACGTACGTGTGTACACCATTTTATTGCAAATTTTATGCTGGGGACTGGACTGCCAACTGTGGGCCTTTAAATTCTCATCCTTTCAAAATTTCAAGACATAATACAGCACCATCCAAGCACCACCAAGTTGATGAGGGACAAATTCCCTTACAGAAGTTCTTGAACATGACCTTCACTGTCCATTCTGGCAGGTTAGTTTGCGGTTGGTATTGCTACTTGGTGTCTTCTAAAAACCAGAAGCAATGCAATGACAACCCCTGTCCACACAAGAATATGTTGCTGCTCATATGTGTGCTCTTCCTCTGGCTGTCCGATTCCAAAATGCCCCACATCGCATTTAAGAAGCAGGTTGGCCCCATCCGTGAAGAGATGTGGGCTTTGTGCCACCATACAAGGACAGGCTGTTATTGTCGACTGCAAACTGGCAGATTGAACACCAAATATTGCCAATCCTTCATATCTTGAGAAACTGTGCTTTTGTGTCACAACATAACTTTCCATACAAATCACTGTCGTGTCCACACATTCGAATCTCATCATGCGAATAGGCACAATATCTACCAGTGTCTGTGCCTCTTCTCTTGCTCCCAAAACCACTCCATCACAGACAGGAGTCCACCCCAACCACGCAAGCATGAGGTGGGCCTTTTGCCCCCACAGAAGTGCAAGGCGACCAAAGTTCATCATGGCGCACAGAAAGGCAACCACCCACAACAGCATTGCAAGCGTATTCAGGTGGTGCGCACAGCCACTAAGGCTGGCAGGACACTTGGTTTTATCTGCAGAACATTTCAAGGCGGTCGTTTTCCAGGCGCCAGCCCAGCGCCGCCAGCGGTTTGAACAGTCCTCTGGCTGGGCGCCGCTGCCCCTTCGACCCTCGGGCCTCCCCAAGACCGACGGGGCACCTCGGATCGCCCACCCACACGGGGGGCCCCGACGAGCATCACGCGACCGCCCTCGCACCTCCCGCCCAGCCCCTCGGCCACTTTCAATCACTCCTCAACCCCCTATTCCCCCTCCCACACTCATTTGTCGGTACATTCTCCGTCGCATCGCAAAGCGGACAGTCCCAAACCCACCGACAAGACTCAACATGCCGCCTGGTCGCCGGCTTCGGGCGGAACTCCCACCCAAGACCCCCTCCCCCCAACCCCTGACACAATCAGCCCAGAATCGATGCAATTGCTCCGCACCTGCGCCACTCCTTCGGGGCTCAGCGGCGGGTCCCACGGGCGCTCAGCCCGCCCCACCCACCCCTCGTCGCTCTCGTCGATCCTGTGCCCGTGGCGCATCACCACCACCGTCTGCCGCCGGCCCGCGCCGACCGCGCCGCCCTCCCCAACCAGCAGCTCCTCGCGCTCGGAGTCGTCGATCGGCGGCCGGCGCCCGCACAGGCAGCGCACGATGTGGGCGAAGACGCCCGCCAGGTAGCCCAGCATCCTGCCGGGCCATGCCATGATGAGCAGCCGCCCCGGTCGGCCTGATGCGGGCTAGGGGTAGGAAAGGATGCCCCGGGGGGAGAGGCAGGGGGCACGATGGGGATAGGAGCCACGGGGTGGTCCGTGTGATGCGAGTCACACTGAGAGAGTTGGCCGGGGGCCTGGGAGGGCAGGCGCGAGGGGACGGGATTTTGGAGAACGGCCCGATCGGAGCCTGTAGTTTATTCTTGCGGCCGGGTGCGCCCGCGAAGTGCCCGTCGACTCGCTTCCGACGGCCGGAACGGGCAGAGCGGCTCCGGCGGGCAGCCACCGTCGGGGTTGGGGTGGGGTGTTTGTTGCACGCAGGCCCAGCCCCCGCTCCAGCCTAAAGTACTGAATCCCGCCCCAGGTGCGTCGCCACACCCCAACTGCCCCTTCAGTACTGTCCCCGCCCACCAACACCAAAATCCACATATGCCCGCTCAGAGAACAAGCACTCCACCTGACAGTGTCGTGCGCACTGGGTGCTGGGTGCCGGGTGCTGGAACAACAAAGGTAGCACCAAGCGCTCAGGTTGAAGCCCCTCTGTCTTGGTAGGAGTTATACCCGGCCAGGGGTCGCTGGCGTCCCCATGGGCGCCGCCACGAGCACGCCGGCGTCCAACGGCGACCCCGATGGCGCCACCACCTCCGCCTGCCCCGTGCCCCCGGCCGCCCGCGGCGCCGCTGTCTACAACGTCTACAACCAGAGGGTGGATGGCGCCACGGGGGGCGGCGGCGTGCTGGACCCGCGCAACAATATGCCGCTCCAGCCGAGCAACAGGCCGTCGCCGGGGCAGAGGGCGCCGCTGTCGGCGGCCAGGGAGGTGTCGATGATCCCCAAGGGCGGCACGGACGGCACGTGGCTGTACCCGTCGCCGCAGATGTTTTACAACGGTGCGGAGGGCTGGGTTGGATTTGCGTTGAAGTGCGGCGGGGGAGGGGCGGAGCGCTGTGTGGCTGTTTGGTTGGATTCTTGCCGTGGTGGGAGGGCGATGTGCAGCGGTGAATTGACTGAGGAATGGTGCTGAGCGTGACGTCCGAAGGCAAAATGGGCGAGGGCGGGCGCGTCTCCGCTTTGCTCGTGATCAGGTGCCTCTTCTTGATTTGGAGGGATGTGGTCTTGGTTTGAATAGAATTGAGCTGGGGTGGTCGACGTCATATGGGGCACACCGTGACTAGTCGTCTTGGACGGTGTTACTGCTCAATGCCACCGCGGTGGCCCGAGTTGGGGCCACTGTCAAGAAATCTGGCAGGAGCTTGTCAAGGCCAAGCTCATTTTCATCGGGATCAGCATTGTGGATCAGAGCAGTTGTGTCCCAAGTGCAGCTCGTGCCAGGTGCCGTTGTGTTGCCTGGGAAGTGTGCACTGTGGTGATTCTGCTCCCTCACCGTCCTGTTACCGCCAGCCATCTACTTGCTGGTCAACGCGATAGTGTGCATCCCATTCTTGTGACTTGTGTGACCAACTGTTGCTCCGCTGATTTGGGTGACGATATCAATGATTGTGCGGTTTGGATGGGCTGTTCTTTCTGCCAAGCATTGTGAACTCCCTAGAAGTTGTTGGTGTGTTCTGATCAAGGTGCAGCAGAGACGCTTGCCATGGCCGGTGTCTCATTTCTTGTTGCATGTAGTGGACACAGTCGGCCACGCATATCAGGTGTTGCCTCTTGTGTTTGGTAGTAAAACCCCTAGGTGGCCGTGCCTGCCCCTGTCTTTGTTTGGGTCAGAGGTGATGCTGGGACAAGGTCATTGGCCACCTTGAGAAATTTGATTTCCTGATTAAAGCCAGCGTGGGCTTATTAGGGGAGTATGCATCCACGTCATGCTAAGCTAGCGTTGTCTGCCTCAGCTCTGAAGCGCAAAGGGAAAATGGAAGGGGTGACTGAAGATGTCATGGACTCTGTGGTGCATGCACACAACAGTGAGTGAATGCAAACTCATTGCCTGGTATTGGTATTCAATAAGATTGTTATTGAAACCTTGTTTATATTGGCATCCTTTCTGATTCTTCTGCCTATTTGGCAGAACGTTGTCTGTTCATGCATAACACCATTTGGGGCAAAGTGGGTTCAACCCGTTAGCACCCAGCAGCACTTTGTAGCACTTGTTCTATACCTTATACTACTGGTACACATCAATTCTTGTGGAGAATGGGACCTGCACAAATCCACTTGCCACATGGTTTTGATCTCTTCGTTGCTACAGAGTCTGTAGGGAATCTCCTTATAGCTGCAGGGGCATTATCTGCTGTCTGCTTGCTTCGTTGTCCATCAAAATATTGTACATGCATGTGATATGAGTCAGTTTTGTGAGGGTCCTCAGTCTAATGTCATAGGGATGTTGCCACCTGCAAGTGTGCATTCCTTTTAGCTCTATTCTGGTGTAATCTGAAGTGCCCTTGATGCCGAGTATTTGGTGGCCAGCTCTGAATGAAGCAACTTGGAGGCGTGTGAGAGACTGGGAGCATCTGCATCAGGAGTGTGGCAACCCGAAGTTGCTCAGATTCGTTGGGCGACCAGACAGCCTCAGGTAGTCTGTCTTTTGCAGGTGGGGACCAGAATTGTCTGGTGCAGATCGGGGAGTGCAGCCATTGGTTCATCAACACAAGCCATTATTGGAAGTGCTGAATCTTCTGATCTCCGCTCTTGCCTTTTCCCTCAGCTGTCCAGCTTGCTTTCCCTCTGCGAAGAAGTTGGACAATGAAAATATGAAAGTGGCAATGCCCTCAGATAAATAGGCTCGATATCTAAGGACATATTTGCAGTCCTATAAAGATGTGGCGAGCATGCTTGTCAACTCCACAAGTCACAGTGTTACAGTGATCTGCACGAAATGGGCCTGCCGCATGTATAGGGCTTGGGCAGGAAGGGGGAACATGCTGTTGTGATTTGAATGCTCATGTTCCCAGCATCCGCTGAATTGCCGTTGATGTCATCTGTCAAAGGTCTGGTCAACCTTGTCCTCTTGCTGTCAAGGAAGTCAAGGGAAATGTTGTCCATATCTAAACCCTGCTTTGGTTGGTGGTTCTACGAGCAGTCAAGCTGTACATACCTTGGCCAGTTGGCTGAAAACGAACAACAGCATCCTGCGCCAGAGCAGTGTTGGAAAGAATACAAGCACGTTGTCTTCCATAGATGCACTGCCAAGCTGCAACAACAGATTCAGTGTGTCATCGCCCTGTGTCAGCCGGGCTTGGTCTTGTAATGGCATCGCAGGCAGACCAGTTGTCAACAGCGGGTTTGCTGTAAAGCAACTCTCCAAGCAGGTTTGCCACTGGCACTGTACCACAGGTGCATGATAAGGCCTGGTAAAGTTTGGTGCATTGATAATTCTGACGCCACTGATATGGTATCACAACAACAGTTATCTCTTCATTCGTTCAGTTTGCATTGTCTGGCCTGTTGTTTGATTGGTTTTGTGAACCATGTGTACAGTCCGCATGCACGCGTGAATAGCTGGATGGGTGGGGCACTCCCTTTTGACCGGCATGACTGGTTTGTGGACCGCTGTGGAAAAGAGGTCCGTTATGTGATCGATTTCTACTTCGCTGACGAAAAGGCAGGCACTCCAGAGGTGAGCATGGCCACAGATGCCCTTGGTGCGTAGGTTCAGCGTTTGGTTCTATGGCTACCTTGGATGCAAACAACATCTCCTGACTGCTCCTGCACCTGTTCTCACCTGCAAGTTGCATTGGCTTGCTGTCCTGTGCTTCTGACAAATATAGTCAAAAGTGTACTTCCCAGCGATGAGCATGCATATTGCGCTGCTACCATCGCTGCCTTCGTTGTTGTGTGATGACAAGTTAAATTTGGCTCGAGTTTTCAGGTTCACCTTCAGTTTACATTGAGATAGGCACGAATTCTTGTCAGCGTCATCGTGATTATGGGTCCATGAACGGTCCACTGGCATACTCAATGATGGTATTGAAATGTGCACGCCGTGATATGCTGATGGGCTACGTTGCTTCACTTGCCAGGCTTTTGTTCTGGATGTTCGACCCGCCCTAGACTCGTTTGGAGCCGCACTTGACCGCATCAAGATGACGATCTACAGCACCTTTGCTGCATATGGTCTGCCATGCCCTGTGACGGGTCACAAACGAGCCGACGCTGAGCCAGCCGGCGCTCTGGAGCCGTCCGTTCAGCAGACCGCATATGGGAAATGATGGACTGAGAGGGCTGCATACTGGAACTGCTGCTTGCATGTGCTTGGCAGTTCACCCAAGTAGAGGGCGTCAACTCGTTACAAGTGTGATAGAACATTTGACAAGGCGCTTTAGTGACTGCATGTCGCAATTGTTGCCTTTTGCAAGCCTGTGTCGCCTTCAAAGCGATGTCCCCTTTATTAAGTATTGGTTTTATTTTTTATTGTACAATTTTCAAGTACTGCGCTGGTGGCTCATTTTTGCCCTAAAAGATGGTCATGTGCCTGGTTTCCTAGATGCTTGCCACGCAGTGCACTATGTCGTTAAAGCCCAACGGGGTTCTTCAGCCGGGTGCCATGAACGGCCTTTGGGAGGTTGATAAAAGGGAACGTTGAAAGGATGGCCAGCACTGCTGTGGAGGAAGAGCGGGCTACGGGCGACTAAAAGCGTTGTGGATGAATCGTTGGCCTCATTATTTCTGCCGTTACAGATTGACTTTCACATGTTGCATATGCATGGCATCAGGGAGCCACCCAGATATCTTTCCGTTCCCGGTTTCTGGGCTTCGTGTTCATGCCTTTCGTAAACCACTGCCATCGACCCTAACAGCGGCGGGAATCGTGAACCGTCTGGCAGACACTGACGGGTTCAGTTACCGACTCCAATGTGCAAGAATGCAGTGAACTGAAGACCCACTGGCAAGAGGAATATATGCAGTTTGCAAAAAGGAGTGATTGGCGCGTTGCATCGTCTGCAAAGGACGCTGAATGGCCATGGCCAGCAGCCTCTGACGACAACGACTGTCTGTAAGAAGTGTTGATGCAGTTTTGGGTACACTCGCAACGGTTGTGCCAGGTGCACTGCACCGCCGAATTGCTCCCTTCATGCTCGCATGATACTGAGTACTCATTGATATGGGAAAGAAGAAACAGCCGTTCACAGTACCACTGTTCGCCAAAACACCTACGGAAAGGTACACAAGGTCCGTTCTCCGAATTTCGCGATGGCGAGCGACTTGTCTCAGGTGTGATCAGCAGACAATCCGCGTTGCCTATGGTTGAGAAAACGGCATGTTCTTGACACAGCAGGCCGGCACATTGCCGAACGTGGGTAATAGGATCATCAGCCTTTATTTGTTACACAAAGGGGAAACAGATTTATGCTTCTTCAGCAGTGCTCTGGTTGTAAACTTGGATGCAGCCAATGTTGTCCACCACCGTGCCAGAGCATATCGTCAGGATATGATACAAGGCAAGGGATATGGCACGAGTCAGTGACCCACATGTAGCACTTTGTCATGATTGGTGAACTGGCGAGGTAAGAAAGTGCTGAATGTGGATTTCACTTCGCATGTGCCCACAAACAGTGTCAGGAATATTAATTCAATGGAAGCTGGGCGCAACTTTGGTGGAGATTGCAACAGTGCTGAAAATGTTGGTGTTGCAGATGTTTGATGTACTTCGTTGCAATGGGAGCAGTGCGTTCAGTGGCAGTCACAATGCTAAAAATGCAATAAATTTGCCACGTTGAGTGACGCTGGATAGTAACAAACAGAGGAAGGGCCACATCGAGTTCGGGACAGCTCGCATTGCAGAGTTGTGTATTGTAGCCTCCTGTCTCAGAAAGCTGGTCAGCATCTACAACAGTCACAAGCTCATGTGAAACAGTTGCAAACTCTGCTCTAAATGCCCCACATCGAGGAGGGTGCACATTCAGTGTTCTTTATTTTGGTCTATGCCTTTCATTGTGCAGCAGTCCAGAGCTGATTATGTTGTGTTGCTCACTGAGGTGCCTCCCAGCCAGGCTGGTATTTGCCCTTCAAGTTACTGTTAACAAAGTCCCTGCTTGGGATTTTCAAACACAGGTACGGGATAGTGCGCAGATTTTGCTTCATTTCGTTCGCAAGGTGTGACAACACATTGGAACTGCACCTTCACAGCAGCTGCCAGAGTGGTGTAGCTTTGTCCTAAATGCTGCCTGTTAAAATATCGATTGAGTTGTCTGGCCACATGGAGGTCCAGCCTGATGGTGCTTGCAGCAAGTCGTCTGAGCGCTTGGGGGATGTATTTGCATTGCATGGTCAGATGGACGTCGAGTTTGAAGATGCGCACCGCAAGTCTTCTGAGCAGATGGAGGACGCCTGTGAAGCTGGACAGAGCACATAATCTAATCAAGTGTTCATATCGCAAGGTGTTCTTTGCAACCACAAGATAATGGCGTTTCTGCAAAGGCAGCTTGATAGAGTCCAGGCAGTGGAGGCACCTCCACATGCAGACCAAGACTCCATAAAAGTGTTTGAAGACCAGATTGCTACCGGGCAGTGGCTGTTGGCCAGACATGGAGACCGAGCAATCTTCTTGAATTTTATAGGACTGAGCATGCAAGCTCTGCAGTGATGTCGATATGCACATGTTTAAAAAAAATCCTTCAAAAGTGGGGTTGCACTGCACCGTGAAGGTTGGAGTCAACATGCCTCCATAATATATGCAAAGACTTTAATAGATGCACAGACTTCCCAGATATGTTTATACAGATGAATATGTTGATATTGAGGATGCTTTGCGAAAGCCATGGTGGACCTTGAAAGAAGAACAAAAGAGGAGGATAGCAATTCTGGCTGAAATTGGCAGTGTCCAGGTGCAGCTGGGGGGCATGACTGGGGAGGGCTCATGGGGTGTTGTTCATAAAGCTGAATGGTCCGGGGGAGTAATGCCTGGGAAAAAGCCAAAGTGGGTGCCACTATTGAGAATCTTGTCAGCCTCATCAACGAAGCTACTGGTCAAGCTTCACTCCGCCACAATCACATAGTCTCAATTCATGATGTGACCATCGATGGCTGGTTGGTGATGGAGTTGGCAAACAGGGGTTCGCAGACTGTCTGTGGAGAGAGGAGCTTGGCTTGGTGCCACAAGGTGGAACTCCTGCTACAAGCTGCCACAGGGGTAAACCACATGCACTCCCAGGTGCCCCCATTGATCTACTGCGATTTGAAGCCCAAGAACATCCTCGTTTTCAACTCTGGGCTACAAGGGTTCTGTGTGGAAGTGAATGATGTTGGACAGACATTCCATGTGACAAAGAGCAAGAGCAAGACTATCAGGAAAAGGAGAGGCACCCTACAATACATTGCACCAGAGAGCTACCACGGCAAATTCCTGACCCCCGAATCTGATGTTTTCAGTTTTGGTGCTGCCATGTACCAGGTTGTGTCAGGATTGCAGCCCTACGAACAGAATATGGATGCATTCAGGAATGCACCATTATGTAGAGGAAATGTCAGATAGAGGAGCCATGTAAATTGGAAACCAAGGACTTTCCCCCATCTATGCTGGATCTATTGAAGAGTTTCTGTGATTTGGGTCCGCACAAGATGCCAAGCATGGCAGATGTGGTCAGTCATCTGCAGTGTTTACCAACGAGATGGGCTTGCCAGGTGCCATGGCACACTCTGTATGCTTAAAGTGCATTTTCTGCTGTAGATATCTGTGCGTATCTTTTTTGAAGTCTGCATCATCCACCTCAACCGTTTCCCTCGCAACAGGTGCGCATCCGTAGCTAAGGATACTGCTGGTTGATTTGCCGGCATGGGCTAGAGATGTCTAGGTGCCTATAAGCTACCGAAGTTGCTGCAATCTCTTGCAGAGCAGTAAGTCCACTTGTGAGAAAGGAGCATGAGTTGCACTTGCCAGAAACAATTGTGGATGACTTATCCTATAGGTATTGCTGGTCATCCTATGTGACTTGTTCGTCAGGCATGCACATTCAGCGGGGGAAGAAGCACATGCGAAACATGTACAGCTGCTGCTCTGGTGGTAACCTATGGGGAATTCCTATGTAGTCGAAGTGCAATCCACGCAAAAAGCATTGTACACACTGATTGTTCTTTCCTGTCCAGCTAAATGAGGGGCAACAATATTGCCCTCGGGTGTTTCAGACAATGAACTTGCTGTTTGAGTGCTGATTGCTGCTGTGTGCTTCTCATCACATCACTGTATATTATGCATGAACATAGTGTGCACATCTGCAAGCCGCATGTCTTGCAACTAGGGAAACATTGCAGCATTTTTGTCAACGTCACAATAGTCAATTAGCTCAGCACTATCAATGGACGGTGCACTAAATACACAGGAAGGAAGCAAGTCCAAAAAACACAGATTTGGTGTTCTCTTTGTGTTGCAGGGACCATCAGACGACAATAGGTATCTCATTTGAGATTGAGGTGGCGAGAAATGGTTGTTCTCTCAGTAGCAATTTTTCAATTGTTGGTTTTGTACATAACGTCAACAAACAGGTGTTGCACGTGACTGTGTAGCTGAGGAACGACTGCGGAACAGATTCGCAAATTTGGCTTCACAGCTTCGGGAAAGTGTGAGCTTTTGGACATGGTTTGGAAAAAATCCAACTGGGAAGGAAACACATATGCATTGCGAGCCATGTGGAATAGAAGTGAGAAAGAAGGTGAGGGTGGATATCAGTGTTGCCAACATGGAAGTGTTTTCACCCAATGTTCAGATTTCGCGCGATATGCAGCATCATTTGTTGGTGATTTTGTATTTGTTTGGGGTGTTTTCTACTATTCCATAAATGTTATCTGTACGTTTGTGCACTTTTGTGGCATCTTGTGCAGGATATTATCTCAACAGAGGGTATAGTTGTGATTCACAGATCAGAACCATTCAGCTGTGGCCAAAAATCCAAGACATCTGGAGCTGGTATCAAAATCAGTTATGGCGGTAATTTGTCGCCTTGCAGCTTTCTGGACTCGAGTTCAGCCAGCTATATTTGTCAATCCATCTGAAGAAGGTTCTGCTGTATTTCCTATCAAGGTGAGGCTGCAAATGGGAATGTAGCTAGTACTGTATGAAGGTTGTGAAAAGTTGCAAATTTTGGAATAGACATCTGACTAACAACCAACACAATGAAGAGGAGAAATGTGTGGGAGTATGGTGGTCAAACTAGACAACACAAGTGGATGCCAGATCATCTTCTTGCACTGTCTCGATTCGGGTCCCTCTTGAGTTTCTAAAGTCAGGTCTCTTGCTTCACTAATTGCAGCTGTGTTCGTGTTGAAAATTGGAATGCCACTTTCTGTTTACCGTTGCTAGCAGGTGGGATTCTCTTGCAAAGCTGCCGCCGCAAGCTTCAGGGAAAAAATGGAGATTGCCTGTTCAAACACCAAACGACTTGTGTCACTCCGGCATCAACATCATGTTGTTGTTTTCGATGAAAACTGCCAAGCTGACTCTCAAGTAAGTATATCTGGATCCAGCCGCCATGCCATTCTCTGAGCGCGTGCAGATCCTGCAGGCATTGTTGGTCCATTTCCTGTCAGAAGCTACACGTAAATTTTTCTTACCTAAGGTGGCTACAGGCCCAATATCATAGTGGCATCGTTGGACAGATGTCAGCAATGTGCATAAGAGACTCAGCAATGCAGTCCAGAACAGATTACTTGTTTCCGCTGCAGGTTTTAACCTGCTGTCACTTGTTCATTCATTGTTTTATCATGTTGGCAGAGATCGGGGGCTGTTCTTGTAGGTACGTGACCTGGAGAACGAGATTCAGCAGACGACCACAGCAATCACAGAGGAAACAAGCATGAGTTACTGCTGGGAGATGGTGGAGTTTGTGCAGAGAAATGTTGGCAAGCTTGCAGCTCATCCTTTCAGATCACCTGCTGATGCTGATGAACGAAAACGGAGGCATGACTTAGCAGTGATGTTGCACAATCTTAATATTGTTCTGCAGCTGGTGAGGTGGCCCAGCTCTCTGGACATCGCTATGCTCTACAGAGTATCAGATACCAAAGCAAGGCTTTCGGGGTCATATGGTCGTTTCTGACTGATTGGGATATGCCTGTTGCCAAGGAATTTCAAGCTCTTGTACCCAAAGAGAACTGGCCAAAAGGGTAGAAATACTCCTGGTGATCGCCTCAAGTATGACTTCGAAGGCCAGCCACGTACCTTTGGAGATGATCATCACCACCATGATGGTGGAACCACAAAACGACAATGGGACATAGTGAAAAGCTGGTTGGAGGCCAGGTGGCAATGGGATAATGTGAAAGGCAGGTTGGAGGAGCACCAATCCTCGTTGCCTGTAATCCCAAAATCACACACCCAAGCGGGAAACAGCATTGGCGAAAATGCGGCAGAGGTGCATTGGAATGGGGGCAAATTGGAAGGAAAGTAGATTATTCCATACAGCGGCTGTGAGCTTGATCTCGAAGTGTTTCAGAAACTCTGTGCGGATGTCTTTGACACCCTATCAGACACTCGGTACATGGTCAAACTTCATGGAGTTACCAGAAGAAGAGGCATGTTATGAACATAGCAAATTCAAACCTCAGGAGATGTTATTTAATTCTCGAAACAACTGAGCATGGAGACAGAGCTGCAATGAAGTTCAGGGTCCTGTCCCAAGTACAAGAGCCCTGCACTCGGGTCGGGCCTTGGGCAAAATCCATGGACGCGTGGAAAAGCAGCAAATTTTGAGTCTTTGGAGACAGAAAAGAATACCCCATTGTCAGGATCGCTGAACTTCTTCTGCCAGTTGAGCATTGGCTTGAAAAATGCAATCCGCCGCCTGCTACAGGGCATTGGATGTCCAAGGATGTGTATAAGCCCCCCAGCAGCAAGTCTGACATTCTCAGCTTCGGTTGCTTGATGTATGATCTAGTGATAGAGCAGCTGCCATACGGATATGGGATATGTGAGGAGATATTATGAAATTAACGTGTCTGGGAATCAGCCATTCATAATTCCCGTGGAGAGTTGAGGAATGGCCAGAAGAGGTGTTGGCATTGATGACAAATTGTTGTTTGCCAGAAGCAGAGGCACGGACTTCCATTCAAGCTGTGGACTATTGTCTGCAGAAACGGTACCCAGGCATAAAAAGAAAGACATGTAATTACCTATAGGCAATGTCCAGGGGTGTGAAGCAAGAATAAAGCGGTCACATTGCCGGCTCACAATGCAAGCCGTGCGAGCCGGTTGATCTTCTGAACGTCAGCCATCGTCAGCCGGCCTGTGCAAGACCTGCACAGGGGCGGCTGGAGGCAGCTCCAGTACTAATGACTTCAGCCCTAAATCGGAACAAATTTGGGTCATTTTCGCATTTTCTAGTCTCAAGGACATATTAAGGGAGCGGCGGACATTTGCTGACCCAGCCAGTTTCAAGTCTCCGACCCAGCAGAGGGTCCCACCGCCCACCCCGCCCAAGCCACCCAAGCCTCCGCCCGTTCAATTTCGCCCACGCCACAGCCCCCCCTACACTTCAAGCGGACAGAGGAATGCCAATCGACGGCACTGGGGAAGGCGACTCGTGAACAAGGCGCTGAGACGGCGCCGCGGCTCTGCTGCCACACGAAAAAATCGCCACACATGGTGGGGCGAAGCACGCGCGCCCCCGCCCACCAAAACGGGCGGTAGATACGGTTTGAAAGTCAAGTAGCGCGCACCGGAAAGTGCAATGCGTGGCTGTGCGCATGTGGCCGCTGCGGATTTTGGGCGGCACGGGTAGAGTTTGTGCGCTGCGCCCCACTCGCGATGCGCTGCGCACATTTGAGCCGCTATTGAGTGGCTTGTGTTGACACAACGTGCGCATCGCGTTCTCAGAGTCGCAGTGCGTGTGGCGAAGTGTGCGCAAAGTTTGGGTCTCGTGGAAGAGGAATTTCCCCCCCCTGGGCGCAAATTATTTCTTAAGTTCTGCGTGCCCATTTCCAGTACATACACTCCTATTATCAGCCTCGCATTCGCGTCCACACTCAGATTTGGATCTTCCGGGCTCATGCGCGAATTGCCAGCTCTGTTCCCATACTCGCAAAACTTCCACTGCATCTTGCAGGCTTGGACAGGATTTTCCAGTGCCTCCCTGCATGTTCCACATCTGTGCAAAATGAGACGTTTTTCCATTTGTGAGTTTGCCTATGTGTGGGCATTCATGAGCGATTGAAGGCTCATTTAAACATAAATGACATGAATGTGGAAGATTTTCAGGAGAATTCGCATAAGAGAAAATTTTCACTTCCGTTTGGTCATATTTTGAAATTCAAATCAATAAAACAAGTGTCTTGCACCTCAGCTTGTTTCAATGTTTACTGTTAAGTTGAATTTCGAAACCGATTTCAATTACTTGGGATAGGTAATTTGAACTGTGCAGCTCAATGTACAATTGCCTCTCAACCCAATAACGTTCAAAAAGTTGGAATAAGTTGCATTAGATTGCATCTACCATGTGCTCTCAGCAGGTTGCTACACCTAGCTGCGTCTTCATGCCATTCACGACGCCCACTTGCACAAGTCATTCCTTTTTGTACTGTAGCGCCATTTGCGTACCCATGGAAATGTGCAAACATAACCATATGCGTGACCAAAGTTGCCGTTTGGAAGCATCTGCTATTAGAGAGCCATATCTCTCATGTTTGGGAAGCGCGAGTGCTCCCTTCTCGCCAGGCCAGCAAACACCGACCTCATCAACTGCTGCAACTATGCTGGCGGCCGCCGCCAGCAGCTGCTTGCAGGTCAGCGGCATGGCTTCGCCACGCTTCCTGCCATGTCTCCACCGGAATACATGGCATTCAATAAATCCTGCAAATTTGCAAATTTGTTTAAAACGCGCCATTATGTGCACATTTTCAAGAAATTTTTGCGTGATCGGTACCGTTTCGTCACTTCGTGACGCTGCGGAACAGGCATAGCTCTTGTGGATTGTGAAAACGCATGTGCGCATAGCACTCAGCGTTCAAACCGAAAACCCATCAGTGTGAGCGCTCCATCCGGCTATCGAAGATGCGCCATTCACTCTTGCGCCGACATACCGTACTTTCATGATAATGAAGGAGAGGGATTTTTGAGGACGCGGGCCGCGGTCCAGGCCCACAAGTGGTGGTATGAACAATGGTCGAAAAGACAAAATGTCGAACCACAATTCCACAATTTGCACCGAGCCCAACAGCTCCGACTTGGGCTCGCAATCAAGACCCTGCTGCTAAAAATGAGCAATCAACCGCCTCTCCTTGCCAGCGCCGACAAGCACGCCACAAAACTTGGGGTGCCTCGCGCTATACAATCAAAGAGATTCGGTCCAGAACAAGCTGGTCAAAGTCACATCGATGTCCTTGGTTCCACAATGCCAGGAAGCAATTTGCCTAACACCATCAAACCTAGAGAAGCTCACAAATGAGGCGGGCTTTCTTCAAGCATCCAAACTGTTGCCGACCCACAAATGTTTCCAGTCACTGGGCCCGCCCCAAGCATCATCCAGGGCATGAGCCAGCAAATTCCAAAACTGCCGCCAGAGACTCGGAGCATCGTCACACGACCACAGAACGGTCGTTCATCCAATTTAAAGTCACGAAAATGCTGTCCGTCTTGTGGCAAAACTTCCAGTGCACTGCCGCCCAACGTTCCAAATGTGACTAGACTGAAACCAGTTCATGGACGCCCTAAACCCGCCAACAACGAGCCACCGCAACACGAATCTTGGTTAGTGTCGCTTTCTTTCTGCCCCATGCTAAATATTTTCCGAACCCACATTCATAGATCCGTTGAGTCCCCAGTTAGGTTGCTGCGTGTGCACGGGCGTACACTTCGTCCAGTGACTTTGGGACTCATCATGCCATTTTTGTCCAGAATCTGGGTCCCAGATTCTAACACCTAAACCTCCAGCCGATTCGTAAACCCGAGGCCCGATGTCGAATTGGACCAAGAGCAATTCGCATTTAAGACGTGTTTCTTAAAAAATGTTCAACACACAATCAAATATACGGTCCGCTGATGGGATATTCTGTCATCAGAGCACGATGCCCTATCAACAATCCGACGTTGCAAGAAAATCTGTAGTAGAACATGAGCACGGCGGTCCAAACCTTCAGTGGTAAAGCATGGCAAAAAACATCTCAGACGCACAAGCCATAGACCACATCTGTCACAGACAAATCGGCTCAAATCCACGATGAATTCCGCTGCTCTTTCTCTATGTTTCTCAATTTCTTGTCCCATTGTTTCCACTTCTTTTATGTCTTCAATAGCAGGCCACTCGTACGTGAGTGTTGCTTTTGCTTCTTTCCCATTACTGGTTGCAGGCACTATATCATTGGGGAATGTTTGGGCCTGGACACACAAGAACATATTGGCAGTTGATATACATGGTTGTCTATGCAAGAACCGTTGGAATGAATCAACGGCGGTGAGCCCAACACCACAGTCGATTCTTTGAATCATTGCGATTTGCAAGTCTACCACCATCAGACCATGAGCATCAATCCGCCGTGAGGCACAATGGGATTCACTTATCCAAAAGGTTTGGAAATCAACTGAAATTTAGCCTCCCGTCTTCCAAGAACGGATGTGTGTTGTGTCCAGAGGGTTCAGCCAATCGCATGACAAAATAATGGACGCCTCCGGAGGTGCTACATGACATCACCGTTTGACGCGGTGGCTGAGGTCTCCAGCGGGGGGCGGACGACAGCATCGACGGGCGGCCGGCCTCACAGAGTAGCTGGCGCACATCAAGCCCCAAAGACCGACGCTCTTCTTCGGGAGGGGGAGGCCGGCCGCCCATCGAGGCAGCTACTTGCAAGGTGCGCGATGCGGCTGGGGTCGCTTGCGATTTAGAGCTGGCTGGCCCATAAAAGTGAGGGAGAAATCGGAGTACCCCTGCGCCTAGATGGACGGGCTGGGAGGCCGAGAGGCAGGGGGTCGAGGGCGGGGATTAAAAAAGAAAAGGAAAAAATGAGGCCGGGGTCAGCCAGCTTGAGGAGGTGTGTCCAAGGGGGTGGGGAAGAGAGGGGGCCTCCCCTTGGTCGGGCAGGAACGAGGCGGTAAGGTAGGGCCCGTAGG